TACAGTGTGTGGGGGGAAATCATGTACGACAACCTCCGAATTGGTGAATGACAATTGGGGGACCTCCAAGGATTCCGGAGGAACAACCTCATCCCCCACGGCTGATCTTCCTCCTCAACCTACATCAATTTTCTCTCCTTCCCTCTACCTCACAGCCCCCCATCCAGCTTGTTTCAGTTTCCTAGTTTCTTCCCTCCCACCCACCTGCCTGTCAGAGCCCCCCCCCCCCCCGCCCCTTTCCTTCCTGTCCTTCCCTCTCATATTATTCTGTTTAATCATATGAAATTATTGAACGGTCTGGTGCTTTCCATGTTATAAAATTTAATTTGATAGTCAAACTGGGAGTCCTACCTCCTGTGAGTACATTAGACTCTTTTTGTCCAAAAAAACACACTTCGTTTTCTTTGCTACAAAATATGTTTTCTATTTACAGCTCCTTCCCCCCACCCCCATCTCTCAGATGGTAAAAGTCATGATACATGTGCTATGGTACCCGAGGGTGCAGCAGTTTACAGCTCTCTCTCTCATGTTATGGGTATATTAGCAATTTGGCCTGAGGAAACAAAAGCATTTATTCTTGTAAATTCCATAAATATGTCAATTAGTACAATTTTATATGCTAACTAAGCTGCAAAGAATGCATTTTATGTTGTTCAAACAGAAAAGGGTTGGGATTGATAGAAGTATTGCTTATATTGTCAATTGCCAAAATGTCTTAAAAAAAAAAAAGATGGGGTTTTTCCACATGGCTTCAAAACTTCCACAAATTTTATATTTCTACCTGAAACTAGAAAGACAAGGTGCCTTGCAGACTTTGGGGTGCAGGAGAAGAGAGTTCAAAAGATGAGGCATCACCACTGGCTTTGAATGGTATGAGTCCAAAGAAAAGGACCTGACACACATGTGGGGAATAGAGCCAGATCAGACACATGGTGGGCACGATCACATGCAGAATTAGACATGCTGTAGGTGCGAATGCTGGGTAGATTTTAAAGGAGCGATCAGACACCAACATCTGCCAAGCATCCCGCTCCCGTCGGCAACCCGTTTTGCTCTGTTGCAGAAGCTGAGTAAATAGACACTGGGGGAAACCCAATAGCAAATGGGTTTGCTATGAGCCAGGAACGGACTTTCTCCAGTGTGATCGCGCCAGTGCGCTTCCATGGCATTGGGATGGTCTGATCGGGCCATCCCCACTCCATGGCATTGTTTCCCCCCCATTTCGGTATGTGCATCATTGCATACTGCATAGGGAGCACTCGGTGCGGAGATGCGAATCATCAATCCTTCGTTGAAGCGCACTGGAAATATGCGGCCAAAAAACCCACCCCGACTCACCCACGGTTGCATCTGATCATGCAGTGGCAGGCCGACCCCGCAGCTCCCAGGGACTGTGTGATCGTGCAAATGCGGGTCAAATTCCTGCAGAGCAAATAGCCTCACTTTCCCCCCACATTATCTTGCATGTGTGAACGCTGCCTGGGAATGGAGAAGCAGCACAAGGTGGTGAGTAGTGGACAGAGTATTTGGCTGGTGCATTTTGTTGCTGTGTTTAAGATGTGACCTATTTCCTAAGCTTTGTTAGCCGAATTGCTTTATTTACAGCAATTGGCAATTTATAAATGGGTCCTTGCCAACTACACCAAGGTCCTGTTCCCACCAAGGGTTACCAGAGAAGGATAACGAGGCTGTTGTTGTTACAATAAATGTCTTTTACTTAAAGAATATAAATCTCATACAAACAATACTGATGCACTCACACATTCAATCAAGTTCCTTAGAAATACAGTATTAAAATAAGCACAGTTGTATTAGCAGATAGGGTGATGGTGGGCAATACTTATCTGTCTTGCAGTTCTGGTTGTTCCAATGAAGAATGGATAGGGAGAAGTGGAAACTAAGGGAATTCACACACAACCAGAACCAGCCAGAACGTGTGGGTCTCTTGACTGCAGATCAAGAGATCAAAGTAGAGGCAAGGGTTTGGGGATAGCAAGTGGGACTTAAGAGGAGTAAAAAGAAGACAGGGGTTGTTGCGGGGGTTGCTAGCTAGAAAGGGCCAGGTGAATGGTCCTTTCCTTTTATAGTGGATCCATTAGATGGGTGGTAACTGTTCCAACCTGTGGACCCACCTATCTGTTAGTCCATCCCAAAAACAATCCTATTGGTTGCCTATAGGAGTGGGAGGTTACCTATAAGGAGTGGCCAATATTGTAATCTAAAACCTTACTCAAAGGAGGGCATCTGGGCAGGTGTGAAAACCTTGGCATCAGGATGCTCCATTGTAGTGTTGATGAAGCTGGCCATTCTCATTGTAAACCAAATGTCCATTTGGCAGGAAATACCAATGCAGGAACAAAGCAGTGATGTCTCCTCTGTGACCACAAATGATTCTGCAATGGGACTGTCTCTGCTCAAGTTGTTGTTTCTTACTACTCACAATAACGGAGGTGTGTGCTTCTTCACCAGGCTGGTAACTGTGTAGTTGAAACCTTATTTACACGTGTAAGGCTTGTGTAGGCACCTTCTATGTGTTACATCACAACAGGTGACTTAAAGTGTACAGTTCTTTGAGCCTATGTGTGTGTGTGCACAGTCCATTGTGTGTAACAATAAATATAGTCCATAAAGCAAAATACCAAGTTCATTCTCTAACAGCTTGTTGTGCACTCCAGTACGCAGTGCTTTTGGATGGTCCTTATTGCCCAATGCTCTTTCCACAAGCACAGCATATGTATGACTTCACCACTGAATTCACTCTTTAATGTACGATGAGGAATTATCTCATACCAGTCTACTTCTTGCACTCTGATTATTTCCTCCCAGTCTCGCCCTCCAAGTTAAAGCTGTAGGTCAAGAGGAGCCTTAAAGGAATTCAAGTGGGTGGAGGCATGAACACAGACGAAAGCATCTTCCCTTGGGCAAGAATCCAGCTGCCAGGCAGAGTAGATGGGGGGGGGGACAGCAGAATATAGCTTGTTTTGGAGCACAGAACAGCATCATCCCACTGGTCAGGATTAGAGTTCCAGTGTTTCCTCTAAGCTGGGTTAGTGTGAGCTAGCTCACAGGGCAAACTAATTTATGCAGTAGGCAAATCACTCACTCACAACTTTAATGCCAGTATCTCACAAAGTAGAAGTTTTGCTCACAAAACTCCAAAGCTTAGAGGGAGCATTGGTCGAGACATGGCAAAACAGAGAAACTCAGCATATAGTTGCGACAAGGAATCCAGCTTGTTATAGCTTTTCAGACACACAGCCTTGCTGGTTATGTGAAACTATGTATTTCAGACCAAAAATACTGGAAGGAACAGTCCTGGCAGAGGCCTAGCAATGTCTGAGGCTGCATGTTTCTATCGGCTATTATCACTTATTAGACAAAGATCCCTGGCATCCAATCTGCTCCTAATACTGT